TTTACATGAGGGGAATGTTCGTTTTTCACTTACAAATATTTTTAATCGATAGAGAAACATTACCGTTGAAATAATCAATGAGCGAAAATCATACAGATTTTTAGAAAAAAAGAAATTAAATCTTGTTATTTTCACTATGAATTTCCGTTGAAAATAATCAATGAGAAATAATCAATGATTACGTTATAAAATGTTCATTTTTGTCTAAAATCTTTTCAATTACAGGGCTATACGTCAATTTAATCCAGGGTTGCAGTTAGCACTTCAAACTACTTCGTTCGTTTTCTTCATGTGAAATGTTGCCAAGCGAGCATGCGCTCCACCTGATGTTAAATGAATACCGTGGCCCATAATGATCTGTTAACTATACGTCAATCAGGGCAGTTGGGCACTTTTCAGTTCTGACACTTCAAGACATTCAAGACATAGATGAGGCAAGAAGCGTTGCCGCAACAGCATCACAACTGCTTAAGCAAGACGAATAATGATAAAAATTTATTCGGGTTTATTGCGTGAAATGAATGACTTTACTCTACACCTTGTTTTTACAAAAAAAGAAAAGGATTGCGTGTTTGACCGGTGTGTATGTCCGTCCCTATCTATGTTCTTTCGTATATAATAAACGTAACAGATTTGAATAAATATTTTGCCAGATTGCAAGTGTCACTGAGTACATCAAAATTAAAAATAAATAAAAATGGCGGATTTTTCGCGCCAAAAGTTTGTTTCTAAATAATTTTTCGTACCGCAGTCGGCTTGTTCAATATTTTAATTATTGACCTGTTAACTGTTTTTTTACTTTGTAAAGGTGTTTGAAATAATATATAGAAAACTCTTTGATTGATGAATTTAAAATTTTATGAAATCGTAGAAAGTCCAAAAAGATTTCCTTTTTTTAGTTATGATGCCGCCCATAAAATATTTTTAATTTTCAATGAGAGAGAGAGAGAGAGAGATTATCTTGTTGTGCAATAAATCTTAATGAATTCACTGGGGCAGAATTGATATAACTGCCTAATTACCGCACCTAGAGACATCATTTTATATTAAGTAGTAATTGTAGTGGTAGGGCCAAGCTGCAGTCTTCGCTCTTGCACGAATGGGCAGGTCCATTCGGGGCATTACCTCGACCTCACTAACGCTAAGAGTCACTTATCACTTGACATCAGGTGAACCGCCAGCTCGCGTGCCATATTCTTGCGTACAAAAAAATATTTCATTGGCGAAGTTGAATCTTTAAGACCCAAACCATGTTGAAAGCTATCTGAGCGTCAACCGCCGATTAGTGCGGTCACAAAATATACCCGATATTGTTCAGCTTTAATCATCATGAATCATAGTAAAACATATTCTCAACACTGGCTGGAAGCATTCGACTTTTGATTACTGGCTGGAAGCGTTCGGTATTTCTTATATGCGATAAAAAAGGCTAAAGTTTAAATATGTCATGTTAGCGCCATTCACTGCCGTTGCGGCGGGGCAGCAAGATCCGTAACGGTACAAGCCTGCGGAGGGCTTTACAAACGGAAAAAGATACAATCGTATCATAAGTACCAAGTGACCTTATTTCTGGCAACAGCAACTCGCTGCGACAACGTACCTTTATTTGGGGCCCTGGCAATAGGGTCAGCGACGTACACGTTAGCTGCCTAATATTACTGTGCCAATGTTTGAGTTACTACCGAGAGTTTCGAAATGTTCAGTTTTAGTTGTCTCAAAGCAAACTTGAGTTAGCGTGAGTTCATTTCATTGATTACATTTCATTAAGCCAAATATTTTTTTGTACAGAAACTTTTCGGTACAAATATATTTAAACGTATAATCATGTGAATCAACGTGCGTTATTGTAATAATCGACTAGGCGTTATTGTTGTAATAAAACGACAATGTGTTGAGAAATCTTTTTAATGAGTCACTTAAACATTTAATAACATGAAACATATATCTAAAATACACATGTAAAAACGCAAAAAACTAACTGTAGAACATCTTTATTTATAAAATGTACTTAAAATCTCTTAATATTTAATCGATCTCAAAGAATTCTTTATAACGTATAACCTATTTAATGATGCGTAGATAATTTTCATATACGGCGGTAATATTATTTTTACACTTTAATTTTAATATAAGTATTTATAAATGTATAAAAATATTTTCAACTAGAATATAAAACTGCATTGAATAGTATTTGGTTTGTTTTAAATAAATGTCACAGAATAAAGAAAGGATAATTGAAAAAAAATCATTATAAAAGCTCCTCTACGCTTTGTGAATTTTAATTCATATAATGAGACACAGAATATAAAAAAAAAATAAGCTCACTTGAAGTGGAAAGTACAAAGATGATATACACGTTGATACATTAATACACAATACGATATATTTCAATTGAGAACATAGAAACAACGGTTTTTAAAAACAGATTAAACTAATACTTGTTAAATTAAAGAAAACTAGTATTGTTGCCATAATTGTACATAGGATTACATTTAAAAAAAAGAATATATATATATATATATATATATATATATATATATATATATATATATATATATATCAAATTACCCTACAACTCTGTTATAATGTTTTCTTTTTGAATGAACACCAAATATAGACTAGACTAATTAGTGACACTAGGTCCTGAAATTTTTAACTTAGATTTTTTAAATTTTACTTACCTGACATAATAACAAACTTGTGACTAGTTTACAAAAAATATCTTTGCCTTTAAAACATCGCGAATAATTTTAAAGGCAAGGTAAAAACTAAAAAGAAAAAATTAGAAACTTCTTCCATTTTAGCACAAAATGATACTTGTATTATAAATATATACAGATTATTAATTAAAATAAACATTAAAAGAATTAACAATATTTGATATACATTATTCATACTTTAGGCGATAAACAAATAGTCTATTATACAAACGCTTAAATTATGTCAGTGTTATATATAAACATTAAAGATAACAGTCCATAGTTCATGCATATTAATATCGTAAATCGGTATATAAAGCGGTTTCTTCAACGACCGATAATTATTTTTATGAAATAATTCGGTGGGGTCAGCTACGCGACATAGACAACGCGAGTGTATAAACATTACATTACTCTTATCTAACAGCACCTTTATAGCCGTTTGTTTACATACGAAGTGTGTAAATATTAGACATCTCTATAATGTATTCAATATATTGCATATAACTATGAAAAATTGAGCAGTTTAATATAAAAATAGGTAAATATTCCATAAAAAGTAAACCATAAATTGTACGAAACGCAGTTTTTTTTCTTAATATGTCAAAATAGAAAAAACTAATAACGTAAAAAATATTTGTTTAACTTTAGTTTTTTTACTTTAACTTTAGTTTTTCCAATACGTTTAAAAATATTATTCTGACATATAAATGACAATTATAGATTAGATTATGATAATAATATAGCGTAATAATATATCAATAAAACGACTCGAAGTTAGATTTGTAATTACATATGTTCTAAAAATATTAGGATTACGACGACATTGTATCTGTGGTTTCTGTGGTTTCTCGTAAGAATGACATTATTATTATTATAGTTTAATGTCTCAGAAATTTCTCCATACACAAAATATTCATTATTGGTTATAACGCCATTTTACGATTTTCAGATTCGTTAAAATCACATGTTAAAGAGTTACAACCAACAATTCAATATTTATGAAGGTCATAACGCCTGTCTTAACGTAACAAAACTTTTAACTTAAAGTGTTAATCTGATAAGGTTCTTATATTAACCAAAATCAATCACCTTTTTAAAGACGATCGAATGTACAACAGTAGAATTAAAAATGCAACAATTCGTTCTGGTGCTAATAAAAAAAATGTAGTAACGAGTTTAAACGAATCCAGAGTTTTTGCAGTTTTCAACATCGATTGACTAATATTGAAAACTTTGTAATATAAAAATTATTATAAACGAATTCTAATTATTTTCTCGACATGCACTTGTAAAAATATTTATAGCAAAAGCGCCGCAGTCTTCATTAACCGCTCGTAGTTTTCTTAAAGCTCCTCGAATCATTTCTTACATATGTCATACTTTGATAAAACATTACATTGAATAATAGTTATACAATTACATTATTAAAACCCCTAAAATTAATGTTCAATTCGATGCAAAATAAGGAAGCTTGCGAGATAGAAAAAAACTATGAATGAACATTAAAAACATTGAACGCATAAAATCATTCTTGCAACGAGAGATCATACAATTGACACGGAACGGTCCAACTTTATTATTGTACTTTTAACATCAATTAATTTAAGGAAAGGCACAAAAGTCGATGCTTCCTAATCACAACCTAATTTGGAAAGACGTTAAGAGCGAAACGGACTACACAATTGCAGAATTGGATGAATTCCCAAACAAACGTTGTAGAGCGCCGCAGCGTAAAAAAGTTATACGAAAAGAATTTATAGATTAAAACAAAAGTATGACACTGATTGAAATACGTTCCGGATAAAACGACCCGCTCATAGAGTAGAGCGCCACAGATGAAAAACTAACACACAAATGGACGATTCGTGTAGGCCAGAGAGACAATATGCACCTTTAGAATCAAAGGGCCCTATTAAGAAAAATCATGATTTTGTCTTTATGTCATGTAACGACCTAAAACCTTCTATTAAAACAAGGGCCGATTTTAGAAAGCTACATAAGGCCGGTCTCTTTCACTGCTCTTCAATCGCCGCGTTTGTTCATAAGTGCACAAGTCTTTATTTCAGATTTCCCAAAATTTATATAATTTTTAAATAGGTCACTATGATTCTAAAGGTGCGTGCACACAATTAGACGTCAACGCAGCGTTACACTAGAGCGCCACAGACTATAGAGAGTGCGCACAATTTTGGTTTCATTTGCCGATGAACACAACGTTGCTGTCCCTCTCTAACTGCTAGGCAGCGTTACACCAGAGCGTCACAGACTATAGAGATTGCGCACGTTCGGACGCTTTCATTTGACGATGAAAACAACGTTGCTGTCCCGCTCTAACTGCTCCTCGAGCTGGCCGGCGGAGAGGCCGCCCTGGCAGCAGAGCTCGTCCAGGCACACCAGCCCGTTGTAGGTGCGCACCACGTTCTGGTTGTGGTCAGACCTCACGGACGCGGTGTCTTCGTTGTTCAGCGTTATCGGGTACTGGCGAATGAACGGCCATGGCTCGTTTGATATGCACTCTTTATTATTGATCGATTTACAGGAACGCATATTTATTTATTTATACTTTATTGTACGCCAAATACCTAAAAAAGTGCAGATTACAAACGAATGTAGAAGTAAGTACAAGTGCTGTTCTATTCAATTTTTTACTAGCAGGTACTATCCGACGGACCTGTGAGCGGATGTGAGATGGCCAAGCTTTAAAAAGTGACTACTTCAATCACCGCACTCACCTCAAAAGTATTACACTTCCGTTTCCACCTGGTTTTCTTTTAGGCACGAACAGCAAGAGCTGGTAAGTAACACACATCATCATCAGTTTCAGCCTGTTTTAGGGCACTGCTAAACATCCCCCCCCCCCCTCCGCCTCCACACATTATCCTTCCACGGTTAATCACTAAGTTTAACCGTGGAAATCGGTTGGACTCACCTTATAGATCGCGCAATTACCCTGACATCTGCTATCTCGGGGGCGACATCTGATTGCGATAATCGTTATCTGGGAGGGGCGGGGGCCCTGGAAATGGGTTGCGCTCACCTTGTAGACCCTGCGTATGAGGCCCTCCAGCACCCCGAAGAGCACCAGCTTGCGCTCGTTGATGGCCAGCTCCTGGGGGCGCAGCCGGCGGCACAGGTCGCGCACCGTGCTGCCGTGCGTCATGCCCGCGTACATGCGGAACAGGTCGCTCACCTTCGGCAGCTGGCGCGCTGCAACGTCGCCCGGGGTACAGTGGGACCGCTTTTAGCGTCGGATGATGCTTTTAGCTCCGTTCATTTCCAATGTACACAATTTTTTATTTCATTTGATATTACGTTCATTTTAACAAATTCAGTTTAAGTGTTGGATTATATGTATCAGAACATCAAGTCATTCATAATTATGGATCTCTTATTGTTCACTAGCGACCCGCCCCGGCTTCGCACGGGTGCAATATATTATATATATATATAACATTCCTCTTGAATCATTCTATGTAGTAAAAAAAACGCATCAAGATCCGTTGCGTAGTTTTAAAGATCCAAGCATACATAGGGACAGACAGATAGCGGGACGACTTTGTTTTATACTGTGTAGTGATTAAATAAAAATGAACTACGTCACGAGTCGCATGTACTCACGAGTTCGCGCGCAGAACTCTACGCACTGCCGTTGTAGGCCAGCGCACCTGGTCAACTGGCGCAACTTGGGCGTAGCACTGTACACCTGGAATCATATCTGCGTTCACAAACCTTCATTAAATGCATGAACGCTATAGAACGAATACATGAAGAGTGGGACGGGCTTACAACGGATACGGTCTCAATTCCGGCCATAATTAAAGCAAAAGTCCATGCGCCAATATATTGTAGTTCCCTTTGCGTCTGCCACCATGAGCCATATGGGGCCACGAAGCAGCTTCAGCTATTGCAGGAGTGGGCAGTGTCGTTTGGAAAAGCGCGGCTTAACAGAAGACCGGTGTGATGTGGAGGTGTCACACTTTTGCGTTTCGTCTGGTGCGTGACTGCCTCTCTTGTCTCAAAGCTAGTGACGTCACCCCACAGGAGTTGTACACGGAAAAACCTGAAAAGTTTGAGTGGTCCCTCCGTCAAGTCTTCGGCTGTGTGTGCCGTGTTGTACGCCAAACATTGGGACGTAAAGAAGCAATTGACGAAAGTGACAGAGATGCTGTGGTTATCATTACCATCGAGCAACTCTTCTGATGGTAAGGAACGTTTCACGACCTTAGGCGAAATACTAAAGTACAAAGTATAAATTATGTTATTTTCACGCCGCTTTACTGCCAGTCTCTGTTACTCCATTATTCGAGTCTAACGAGAAAGCGGTTTCATCTTGTGTTAAGTGATCAAGTTCACCAATTAACGATAATAACACCCATAGAGTTGTAGTTGCCGAAACATACCACTATTAATACTTTTTTGACACCGTGGTCTTTCTGCGGACGAGCTGACTATTTCACACAACAGAAGCTTCTGCGTGGTCTCTACCACTTCTATAAAGGAAACTCAAAATCTTTAAAACTTGCGTCCGTCCATCGGTTCTCTGGACGATATTATTTCTGAGCATAATCATAACATATCATGGTGTATGAAACAAAATAGTATCCATGAATCCAATAAAATCGAGGACACTAACAGCGCAGTACTGGAAGATGGGCACGAGGGTGATCACGCCGTAGTAGACCAGGTTCTGGACGCAGGCGCGCACCAGGCTCACCTCCACGTCGCTCAGAGCAGCTATTTTCGACACGTGGTTGAAGCCGTCGATGTACGGCAAGATCTGCGACAAGGCAAAACATCCCTTATAACGTATGCATTAAAGCCTATAACTGCAGAAGAAACTTAAAGGACAGACGATAACCATCAGTAATGATCGTATTATCCATCTGACATTACTAATTCCATGTACTCATACATTAATTAATTTTAAAGATTTGAACTGCAAAAATATTCTTATTTCGTTAAAATGCATGCTGTCGTGAATAATTGGAATCAAACTTATTAAACTCTATTATATTCTTCTTATAAGATACTTACCATACGGTTATAAATAAAAGAATTTATGTAAAATATTGAAAATTTTAAAGACTCAAATTGATGATGCTAAAACAGACATAGTTCGCACATTAATTTTTTAGACCATTGCCAAATATTTTTTGTAGCTTAGCAATACTGTAAAGAGAATTTCTGTAATTAATTTAAAATGTATCTTATTACTAGAAAACCTCAATTTCAGAGACCGAAAAAAGAAACTGTGTCAAATAACGGTTTGACTACTGTCGACTGTCGAATATGTCTTAAAACAATGTATACTGTATATTCATATCTTTTCTAAATATCTTTTTTAATCATCTTTTCATATCTTTTTTAATGTAACTTAAACAAACAGTAATTTTTTAAGTTACATTCTCATAGCAGACGGCGTAAATTGGAGCGCGTAAGACTTATTCCCCTACTATGGTAAAAGCTAAACAACACCAATCCAACCGTATTTCAAAGTCGTAAGACTGAAAATCACATGACGAAATAAATTATTTTCCGATCCCAAATAAATCTTCCCAAATCATACAAAAAGGCTTCCGTACTTGAAGCAGGAGTTTTTTTTCCGATTCTTCGCTAATTATCACACGTTGTTAGTGTAACGACCTATTAATAATAATAAATATTATTATTAATTAGTCATAATAAAGATCAATTAAGATGAAAATAAAACGTTTAAGAACGTTTAATCACAATAAAAGTTAATAATATATACTTAAATTAAAGAAATATAAGTGTTAGTATGAGAAAATGATATTACCAAAAATTGATAAAAAATAGTTAAAAATCACCTAAAATACTCAAAAAAGGATATTTATTAAAAAAATAGCAAGATACGATCACTATTATGTCAATTAAATACAATTCCATACTTAGTGATTTCTAAGGGAAGTATTATGTAGCGTGCGGGGACACATTTGTATGACTGCACATATGTAAGTACAGAGGTCGATCGCGACTCTTAGTACTATAGTCAAAGTACATTGTATGAACGTCCCATACCAATATCATATGGAAGTAAGGTCTAATGGATAAAAGTAATAATATGTGAAGGCTCAGAGAAAAAATAATGAATATATAAATATAATGAAGAGCAATGAATGACTTGGGACTTTATAAGACATATTACTATGGAGTTGCGTGGTACTTCTGTACGACGATATGGTCTACGGTAAACGTGGAACCATGAATGGATATGTCTTCAGTGGTGGACATATCATCGATAGCTGGTGGTAGTTGGCGTCTTAGTGACCATCACTATGATACGTTAGCTGTCATTCGGCATAGTAAGAGTTTGGTGGTAGTTGGCGTCTTAGTGTGTTGCACTATGATACGTCGACTGATCATCTGACTTTGGGGAGTCTGGTGGTGGCTTGCGTCTTAGTGTATTCCACTATGATACGTTGGCTATTACTTGGCTTGGGTGGGGGTCCGTTGGTGGTTGGCGTCTTAGTGTTTACGCTATGATACGTCGACTATCATTCGGATCGTGAAAGAGTATGTTTGGACACTTCGTGTGTTCCGAGTATATTCTAAACTTTGGAGCCGAAGTTGATCGGAGTTATATTGGTGTGGTGTGAGGGTGTGCCACCTACGCGATAGTCACATTGATGCGTGCGGCTATATGCAGTAATGCGTCTTGTGGTATTTGCGGGTTGATCTGCGCCTAATATCATTGCATCGTATGATTCTGGTTGACGGAGGTTCGAGGTGATGATGTCTGCTGTGTATGCGGGATAGGCTGTATGTTGGCGTGTTGACCTGCGATAGTTGTATTGATGCATGTTGCATTTGGTGACATTGCGTCTTGCGACATTTGCTTGGGAGACGACGCTATTCATAATGGCCGAGTCTGCGTCTCGGTTTGATGCACATCTCAGTAGATTTGTCCAAGTCGGGTTCCTGATGACGGAACTGCAGACTGTCTGACCTCTTTATACGTTTTATCATTATTAACGAATCTCAGTAAAGTTCCCACCGTTCGAACGAATAATGGCAACTTGCTGGTGGGTGAGACAAACTTGATCGAAAATACATTATACTCAACGTCAGAGACACTGACAAATAATTATATGTTGCCAATTATAAACCCTTCTGATGGCTAAACATAAAAATTACAACTATGGCTATATCTGACTATTTCAATGATTGGTGGAGCATATGCGTTTATCTCATGTGGATGGTAGCTGGCGGGAGAAAACCTCTCAAGGCTGCGGCGATGCCGTGCAACGTTTTAACCATACCCTTGGGGTGAGCAGTGACTCATAACGCGCTCTTCGACGAAATGTCGTGCTAACCTTTTTAATGGTGGTGATGCCAAAACACTAGCAATATGTTGGTTGGCGCTCACCGCACACGGCGTTGGTGAGTGTTTTCATGAAGCCGTGTGCCTTCCCTACATTTTTTTTTAATGTGGGGGAGCTGTTGACTTGTATCGGGTATGTAAAATTGATGTGAGCCCTTTTCAGGAGAGAAGGGATATTAGTTTAAAAATTATATTGTGAGCCCTTTACAAGCGTCAGAGGGAGTATACTATATACTCTGAGCCTGTCGCAAGCGAGTCGGGATTAGTTAATAAGAAAGCAAGCTAGCATTATCTCTGGCTTATACCACAACTAGTGAATATTTATCTATCCAAGATCCACCTAAAAGAATCAAGTTACTAAATAAACACAACGTAAATGCGGTCCTACCGAACATGACGATCACAATAATATTTTATACGGCTAATTATTACCTTTAGAAAGATCCTATAGAAAGATCAATAAATTATCCTGGTCACGTAATGATGTTATATGATTTATTCATATAACGGGGCAGAAAAATATAGAAGTATAATTATATATATATACACAATAAAGGGGGGGGTGCGAGTTACATTAGCATCAGCTTTTATCTAATGAAAACAAGGTCTTCGGAGTAAATTCATGCAAGGACAGAATGAACCATACAATCATAGTCCAAATTCCAATTTATTCTCATGACTAGCCAAATTTGCTGAAGTATTAATAGTAATAATATATGCTACAATAATTATCTATAAGATGATCGATGAAATCTAATAGTAGCTGGAAGACCGAGCTTTGCTCGAATTTTCGCCCCGGAATCTACGCTCTTACTAAATTTCATGTGTATATACAGCGTGTCGTTACCATCGCGACAATAAATGAACACACGTCTAACGCTACTTGCCAATAATCATAAAAAAATATTAACGTTAAACAAAATCCATAATTAAAAAAAAATATTTTTCAAACAAACTAATAAGTAAAAAGAAACAAAATTTGTAACATCCTATACAACTCGCGCCACAGCGTCGCATTACAAGCCTCTCCTTCTAACAATATGTTTTGTCTCTTTTAAACTCATTCAACCCATTCATATGCTTAGTGACCTTTACAAATGAACTTTACGTTACAGTTTCATACGTAAGGGTGTTCTAAAATCGTTTGTTTTGGAAAATTTAATAACTCGGTAAATATTGATGTTTAAAGAATGTAAACGTTTAATACAAATTTAAAAAGTTATACTCTATATGTGTGTTCATTTACTGTCGCGGTGGTAACGACACGCTGTATATAGATATATACACATGAAATATATTCTTAATATATTCTTGTATATATATATATATATATACAAGAATTGCTCGTTTAAAGGATAAGATAAATAGTAACAGGATTCGATGATTATTTTTTTAAATTATTGAAGTGCACCGATACGCAGCGGAGTGGGGTCGCGTGGTGAATACCGTTTGAACAGGGGGGAGGTTTGGGCACAACGCGACATTTGAGCTTAGCAACTGCGCCATCGAGTCAACGAATCAATTATTATATTCATTCGAATAATACCATATTTTTAATTAGAATAATTTATGAATAAACTAGCTGACCCGGCAAACGTTGTTTTGCCATATAAATTATTTGTAGGGTAGAACAAAATGTTTGGGGTGGTACCCTTAACATTGAGGGGTATGAAAAATAGATGTCCGCTTCTCCACCCTGGTCAATATGCACACAAAATTTCACGTAAATCGGTCGAGCCGTTTCGGATAAGTTCAATTACAAACACCGTGACACGAGAATTTTATATAATTGATAGTATCTGTAAGATGATTTTGACAATAGAACCAATCCAGGCATTGACTTGTATCTTGTATTAACTGATGTTTTTGCTTTCAGTCCCGAGACTATTAAAGCTTCATCGGACGCAGAACCGGTGGGCTAGCCAGAACCCACGGGTTTGGACCCTCCGCTATGGGTAGGGTCGCGCATGTGCTCATGCGTGCGTTTAATTATGGTGTGTCATCTAAGAGGGCCGTCGAGGTCGCGGTTCGGACCGAGACCCCGACGGCCGTCGACTGTGCACTTAGCTAATCGGTGGCTGGGAGCGGTGAAACCGCCCCGGAACGCTGGTGTACCTTGTGTACGCGTTGTGTGGGTCTCGCCGTGCTCGGAGGCGAGGGCGAACTGGTGTGATTGTTGTTACACTAACTGTGGGTGTAGTGTTATCCGGCGGGACCCCCGGCGGTGGGTCCATCGTATCTAAGTCCTCTTCGTCGATCGGGTCGATGAGGACGTTTCGCGGGCGACGCTTGTTTACGTTCGCGTTAGTGTCCGGTTGGTAGTTTGCTACGCTTACCACCAGAGGGTTGGGATGATGCTGGACTCTATCGAAGAACTAATTAATTTCAATAGCCTCGCGAATCATTCTTGGGAGGAATCGGTGTTCTTTTGCAAGGATCTGTGGTTTGTCAAAGCTGATGTAGTGTTTGGGCCAATTTAAAATCTGCTCACAAACTGCAGACTTGTTCAATCTATTGTGTTTTATGTCAGCTATATGTTCTTTCACGCGGGTTTTTATTGCTCTTTTCGTTTGACCTATGTAAGAGAGCCCACATTCACAGTCAAGTTTGTACACTCCTGGATCTTGCAGAGGGATATTACACTTGACAGATGGTAAAAACTGACTAATTTTATTTATTTATTTATTTATTTATTTATTTTAACATCTTACATCTAGCATTACAGGAAAAAGAATATCCTAATTCGCTTGAAGTAGCATTAAACTTATCTTAATCTAATTAATATAAATATTTCCTTAAACTAAATAAAACTAATTTCATAGCAGATAATCCACATTGCAACTCTTGTGAATTCACTCAGAGCACAACAAAAGAGGTCAGTTTTCTCCGCAATGATATTAAGGGTGCGAAGCGCGCGCGTCAGCGGCGCCTTGCTGAGCAGGTTGGTGCGCCCCACAGGCACCGCCAGCAGCGGCGGCCTGCGCCTCCGACACACGTACCCATCCGGGACCAGAAATCTGACTTGTCCTAACACTTCCGAGCTATGCAGCGCACCTCTTATCACTTTAAAAATGTACGTTACAAGTGCTAGTTCCCTCCTAACCCTTAGCTCATTGTACCCGACCATACCTAAAACAAATAACGTTGGATACATTAAGGGGTAGAAAGGGTATACCCCATACTTCTTCAGATATAGGAACCTAGCAAATTTGTTCTGCACACGCTCCAACATGAGTCTATATTTAGTCTCATGTGGAGACCAAATGACTGCATTCCCTTCCAACTGACTTCTTACTAACGCATTATACAGTGCAACCACTGCGTTCATATTGGTAAAGCCACTTACGGTACGAAGTAAGAAACCTAAGTTTCTGTAAGCTTTCTTGCAGCATTTCACTATATGGCTACGAAATGTAAGCCCCGTGTTTATATTAACCCCTAAATCCCTAACTTCGCTAACTCTAACCATTGGTACCCCGTCAACCTCATATTCGTAATGGACAGGGGAGTGCGCCTTAGAAAAAGTGATCACTGCACATTTTGAGAAGTTAAATTCCAAAAAATTATCCTTGCTCCATTTGACTACTCTGTCTATATCCTGTTGCAGCCTCGCACAGTCACTCATTTCGCGTATGTCTAAAGACAGCTTGAGATCGTCCGCGAACAACAAACACTTAGCGTCCTTGACGACTTGTGGTAGGTCGTTAATAAACAAAATAAATTGCAAGGGTCCTAGGTTACTGCCTTGACTCACCCCAGACCATGTGTAGTACGGTTCTGACCTATGACCCCTATATTCCACATATTGCTGCCTGTCCCCCATATAACTCGCAAAAAAGTTAAGTAAATGCGGAGTGAATCCAATCGCTGCCAACTTTCTTAACAGGATGTTATTGTCTACCAAATCGAAGGCTTTCCGGAAGTCAAAGTACGCAGCATCAGCCTGCCTCCCACTGTCAACTGCTGGAACAATCTGAGACATATAGCAGAGAAGGTTGCTGGTTGTGCTTCTCGACGGCCTAAACCCGTGTTGAGCGTCAGAGAGTTGCGACCTTACCTGAGTGTAAATACTTGTATGTAAAGCTGATTCTAAGACTTTTGCTGGAGTTGACAACACGGCCACCGGTCTGTACCCTTCTACCTGAGTTACAGACCCACCTTTAGGTACCGGAACGACTTTAGTTACTTTCCACCTTTCTGGAAAAACCGCTGCCTCCAGACACTGATTGTATATATACAACAACGGTTCTGCCAAGGCGAATCGACAGTCTCTGAACAGGTAAGGTGGTATACCATCCGGTCCCGCTGATTTCTTCGGCTTAAGTTGTTTAAGTGCCTGTATCACCTCGTCCAAAGTCAGCCTGCCCACGTGGACCCGTGCCGCTCCATTCTCCCCGCCTGCTGCTGCGATGGCTGCGCTTACGTCCAACTCCGCTCTGTGTGAACTATAAACTGAATGGAAAAAGTGAGCGAACTCTGTAGCACAATGCTGAGCATTCAATACCTCCCCGTTCTTCAGAATTTTTTGAACACCCCTATTACCTCTTTTTGTTTTTGTGTAGTTCCAGAACGATGTTGGATCCCTGTGTAGGTCATTCTGAACACGGAGAAGATAGTTCTTGTGAGCGATTTCTATCATGTTCTTAACTTTTGCCCTACACTGAGCGAACGCATCGTAGTCTACTTTAAATCCACTCGCTTTATACCGTCGGTGAAGGCTCGCTTTCAATTTTATGTTGCGAATTATTTCGACCGTGTACCACTCGGGGTAATTGTACCTCGGAGATACAGGACTTCGCTTTTTTTTCGGAACGCAGTCATCGATAATTGATGTAAGAATGTCATAAAAGTAATTTAAACTTTCCTCTAAATTTAAATTTAAATTATATAACTGTGTCCAATCTACTTCCGCTATAGACGAGTACAATGATATAAAATCAGCCTTGTAAAAATTCCAACTTGTAGGCGTACTCAGACTCGCCTCAGGTAATACTCCGTCAGCGTGACGATGCCAGTTTGAACGCAGTGACACCGTGATGTCCAGCGGCGGGTGATGCACATCCACCGGCACAAGCGGCTCCGGAGACTCGAGCACGTCCACCCTACCGTCCGCCGATAACCCGCTAAGGACTAGGTCCAGACATCTGTTATTACAATTAACTACTGCGTTACTCTGAGTGAATCCACAATACGTTATAAAATATTCAAAATAGTTATTTATATCTAAGGAGCACGAATGTAAATTAAAATCGCCTACTATTACTACCTCGCTGTACCGATCACAATATTGCTCAATAATCCTAAACAGTAACATATATTCATTCTCGCGGCTATTGGGCGGTATGTAAAGAACACATATCAGGAACAAAAATCGCCCGCGCTTGTATACCGTCGCAGAAACCAGTTCAAATGTATGCGCGTCCATGTTGACGTCACACTGCACTCGGCGTAATTCTAACCGCTGTGTGGCCACGAGAAACGCGCCTCCCTGTTTGCGTCCGTCCGCTCGGTCACATCTGACAATTGTATAACCCGGTGGAATTATCTCTGCGTCATGTATGGATTCGTTGCATCCAGTTTCTGTGATAGCGAATAAGTCTGCAGTCGAAGAAGCCACGGCCACGTAAAATTCATTTAGTTTTGTCCGCAGTCCCCGTACGTTCTGATAAAATATTTCCACCGATTTATTCAGATATTTTGTACTATGAACGGGTGGAGTAACTTGCTGCTCTGCGAAACCACACCCATTCACAAAATTCCACATTAATCGGCCATACTTCCGATTGACACAGCAGGTTATACTTACTTTCGGGAACTGCTATGATAAATGATGAATAATCTCTCTCTGTTTTGTGCTTAATTTTCTCTATTTTAATAGGTACCTCCTTTACTACGTCTCGGACAAACTGTTCCAATTTCTCCGCTGTTGTATCCTTCCGAAGCCGCCAAACATGTAAAAATTTTTGCTTTTCTGTTCCTTCTATTATTGACTGCATACTCTCACCTCGTTTTACTTCCTGAGTAGGATATCTATTTCTCTTACTTTTTAATATTGTCCAGTCCCCTTCTCTTCCTGTAATTGTCTTTTCCTCTATCACCTGACTTCCCTTCTCTTCATCGATTATTCTTATTTCTGCCGGTTTCATGACCTCACACTTTTGTGGAACTATCTTCGTTTGATTTTTTTTAACGGCATCCACAAATGATTGCACTGGCTCTTTGGACTGGCCTACCTTAGCTTCATTACTCTTCGTTTCTTTCTTCTTCTTCTCGGTCTCCAGAGCGTTTTCCAGAAATTCATTCCTCATTAATAAAGTTTTCAGTTTAGACTCTAGTAAATCTACCTTGTTAACCTTTTCTAAAACTAACTTCATAGACTGCTTTATCCTTTGTACCTCCGATTCCGTTCTAATAAATCTGTCTAGAAGCTGTGCATATTCCTTCGACTGCTCTTCAAAGCGTGATTTCATTTCCCAACGAAATTCTCTTAGCTCCTCAAGCAGCTTTTCTTCCGTCCCAATCCTCGAATCGTCCAGCATGACTCGGTTACCCCGCTCCTTGGTGACATAGCTGGTACTCGGAGTAAACGTTTTATTCATTACAGCACTTCGGACTGGCGTATCAGAATTGTTCCCTTTTGGAGCGTCTCGCATACACTCGGGGCAGCTCCAATTGGCTTTGTATTCCTCTGTAAATTCCTCGTACTGCGTACTTGACAGTAACAAACATTTTAGGTGGTATATCTTTCTGCACTTTTCTCGTGAACAATCCATAAACGATAAATCGTATATCGCCTCATTACACCCATTACATTTAATTACCATTTTACATTTATTTATCTATTAATTTATTTTTTTATTTTTTAACTCTCACTCAAAAAACACCTACTTACGTCCGCGAGCGCAAGCGGCTCATAAGTCTTGAGCCAAGCCCTTAGATTCGGCCCGCTGTCGCTTCTGCTTTTCAGTTACGCCAAGCACCAAAAGTGTCTCGTACGATGGGTGACGTTTCATTTGATTCAAGCGCAGCTCGTAGCGTAGCTCGTAGTATAGTTGTTGTCTCCTGCAGCGTTCCTTTTCTATTGCACCGTATATAGGTGCACGCACCTAGACGCACTTCCTGAGCGTTATGTGCACCTGGTACTTCGGCGTAATTAATGATACCGAATATTTTAAAAAACTTTTATTAAATTTTAAATAAAATAGAAATAACCAGCACAGTACACACGTCTAATCGCTTTCGCGATCCGAATTGCAATCTAATCTTCTTCAGTGGCTTGTAGAATGTATTAATTGAAGCCTGCTTTAAGATATAGCCAATCTTGTCGGTGACTCCTCTGACGTATGGTAGAACAGCAGGTACTCGCTCCACTGTGGCTGGTTTCACTCGGTCACTGTGACGTAGGCGCGGTGCTCGAAGCTTGTTGTCATGCAGAACTTGCTTGACATGTTGAAGCTCAGTGGCCAGGTGTTGTTTGTCACAGATCCCTTGTGCTCTCTGAAACAAAGATTTACCCACGGTAGCTAACTGGGATGGATGGTGGTAAGAATCACCGTTTAGGTATCTATTTGTTACAGTGTTATTTGGATTGCCGATGACCAAAACATCTAAGAAAGCTAAAGAGTTATTATGCTCTAATTCCATAGTGAATTGTATTTTGGAATTTACTGAGTTAAGGTGATTTAGAAATGCATTAACTTTACTTGTTGGTAAAATGGTGAAGGTGTCATCTACATACCTCTTGTAAAACCTTGGATAAATCCAGTCTTCATGTCTTGAACCTCAAAGCAGAATTATGGAGAGAAAGAGAAAGTGTAGAGAGAGAGGATAGATAATTGTAATATGCTGAAGCCTGGTCCACAGCTAATACTTGATAAGAGTTTCAAAGTAGCACAAAAGTAGTTTATTAATTCCGATAGGAATGCGTGGATAATGTACATTATTTCATTATCGATACGGTTAACGATGCAGTTCAGTTGGGCGACGCGTGAACTGTTTCAATCGAGGCGGTTTCCATCAACGTTATACCGAGCGATATCGCTTATTTATTTTTACCACGCTTTATTACATTCGGTCGTACGTTACTGTGCCTTAATATCTAATGAGATATTCAGTTGCGTTTTTAATCCAATCCTGGACAAGTATGATTAAGAATTTGCCAGAAACAGTAAATTTTAAGTCTACTTCGCTATCTTTCATTGAAACTAGTTGTCAATAGATGGCATTATCATTAATTGTTTATCGGAAGTTTTTAAACAATTCTTTTTGTTAAAATTTGTTGTTTTAATAATTGTTATTCAATATATATTTAAATATTTTTTTATGTAATATATATTTTTTGTTATTCTTTTTTCGCCAATAGCGGAAAACATAAGCTCATATTTGATGAAGCATTATGCTAGTTATGGCATTCAAACAAAAACTCACCTTGGATAAATAATATATAGTAACTAGTTATATTATTACACACATGCATTGCGCGATACTACTGATGTTCTATAAGAACAATTGCCTGTCAGAGAATGAAAGATTAAAATTGCTAATCGCACATACGAATGCTAATGTCTGTACGGAACGTATGACTTTGTTCAAGGTGCAACACGCGAACTATGAATTATGGCCTCGCGAATATATGTTGTCTCTCCACATTTTCTATCGCATTTGCAACGGTGAGCGCCCCGAGGTGTTTTTAAGTTTTCAACCGACTTCAAAAAAGAAGGAGGCTCTCAATTGGACTGTATTTTTTTTATGTTTGTTTCAGAACGTTCGACTGAGTGAACCGATTTTGATTTTTTTTTATTTTTTTTTTTTTTTTTTTTATTTTTTTTTTTTTTTTTTTTTTTTTTTTTTTTTTTTAGCTGGTGCTTCCTGTGGACCCATGTTAATTTCATTGGTATTGTATCTAGGGCACCGGAGATACGTAGGGAGATCCTGAAAATCAATTATAAAATGAATACAGAGCGAGATATTTGAGGTCAGTTTTGTTTTTCGTTGATAAAAGATTTTGTTGTTTTATACATCAACTATCATTGCAGCAAATATCAAAGCCATAGTGAAGTTCAAATACAATTAAAGAAACATAAACCCATACTCATAACTAAAACTAATCACTTAGAACATGGAATGTATCCAGTGTGAACTCAATGAGCAATTTAACGCGCCTAATGGATTAGCTACTGCATTTAGTTAACAAAGCGCGCGAGTAAGTGGTGTAAAACGTAAAATAAATTTTCGTATTGTTCGGTTTAATACCTGCCGCTGGGTTTCACCGCCTCGATGGTTGACAATCCACCGTCGCTCATTTTACGAGAGACTATCGCGAGACCTATTTAGCGTAATTGTGGCCAGCGATTATTTCCGGGCCGATATGACTTAGGGGGCTCCAAGTAGACGTCATATTCCTCTCTAGAGGCCAGTAACGATTTCAATTCCATCTCATCTCCATCTCCTCAAGACATTCTCATGAGCGAGGTGGAAACCTTCACCATTAATGAGCTGGTGGGATTACCATCCAATATTGCATCGCCACTCACTATCAGATGGGAGTCAAACACTAGGCAAGCCGCTTAAAAACAAAAAAATTATCCATGTGCTGCTTGTTTGCGTTATCTAGTCCCAAACTATCCAGTTTGTAAAATGGGACAGGATGCTAAGTTAGTGATAAACACACACAAACAATGAAGCGATATTTACAGATTTATCGTGTTTATTTTCAATTTTATATCCCGAAGTTTCGCACCCTTTTCAGTTCATGGTCACGTTACAAACTATCCTTTAGTAATATAAAAACGAAATAAGTTTCGTAAAACCGCAACTCAGCTTGGTTAAATTTTGCCTATTAGAAAAGTCAGTCTTAGGGTGTTACCAGACCAATCGATCGTTCGTTGATCGACGGCATCGATTAACGTCGATCGAAGTTGATCGACTGGTCTGGTAGCTTTAATTGATCGACGGATACCGTTCGACTAACCAATCGATCGATTCCATCGATCGATGCCGTCGATCGACCATAGATCGATTGGTCTGGTAACAATCTTAGAGACAAATAAAAGTAATAAAATGCTCCACTCGGCACAAATCAACGTAACACTAGCCAAGCGCTAATTGACCGCCTGCGCGGTCATAATATCAGACTTGAGTATCAATGTTAATTATAGCGCCGGGTGTTGCTTGCGGCTGAGAACAACACGTGCCGCATATAGATTGATCCTCTTACGTCATCGCAGCAAGATACTTATGTAATTTATTTTTCTTCCTGCCCTGTCAAAGAATCCCGAATCGACTTGACATGTGTCGTCTTAGTATATAGAAACAAATAAACACACTTCCACGTGTAAAAAAATCTTATGATTTTATTTGGCGGCAAGAAACTGGCTACCGTCCGACATGACTAGCCGCCTCGCACTTACAACTGTATATAACTACTAGCTGATCCGGCAAACTTTGTTTTTCCATAGTTATTAGTAGGAAAGAATTTTTTTTTTTTAAATTCATATGATTTCATCAAGCCGTTTCGGAGGAGCATAAACACTAAAACTGTGACACAAGAATTTTATATATTGGAAAGACCATATTAATCCTATATAATGTAAATTACAGTTATCTGCAAATATCCAGATCTTATGTATCTGTTTTTGGTATCAGGGGAGCACTATTCAAAAGATAACACCGTCACCTTACATGACAGGGTTATGTGGGGTTCTTAACCACTAGGACCCCCTCGGTGGCCCCCTTCTGTACGTTTGGAGGGACTTCGGAATCTCCTACGGAACGCACGGGTGTACCTCGGTACAGCGCGTGAACGCGGGAGAAGGTGGCCACATAGACCTTCCCCTATTCCCTCGCCATCTTGCAGCAGACCACTAGAGCACAAGACCACTTCGAGCTGCTGCCAAGCCGTGCCACTTTTACGACAGGCAGGGGATACCTTAGCCCTATTCTATAAGCCCGGGACGCGGCTGAGATCTTATGTACATATTAGTCAGGCAATAATTTGCTATTAAGTAGCAAAAAGCACTTAATTTTTACTGTAATTCAAAATTACAATAAAAATGCAGTATTGACACTATGAGATCTAGGAAGAGGGAAAATGTTTATTGAAAAAGAATGAGACAGGCCCCGAGCTGCACTTGTTGCTCGGTACAGACTTGTTGACTCACTTTGTTTCTATATTTTCCACATTTTTATGTTTATTTGACCGCGGTCATTGGCGATACAGCCGTTTATTAATGCAAACAGTCCAGCACCTCTGTTTTGCATCTTAGATTTTATATAACCGCTAAGGTCGACCATTGAATCATTAATCATTAACTCTTCAGATATAGCTTACAGATGTAGTAAAGTTGGTTTACTCTAAAACAATCCATTGAATGCAAAATCTTAATTTTAACCTGTGTTATTTTTTACAAGATTTTATTTAGTTTCATCTGTAATGATGTTTGTTATCAAATTTTGCAAATTGTTATTTATTATTTGCAGTTGTTTATTTTATTTTTAAATTGCGACAATCATGTTTATTATGTTTACTTTTAACGGTCTTAAATGTCTTTTTATACTCGGAGCGAGGCTGCGGCAGAATAACAAGTGTCTGATTACACCGTCGGCATCGAGTTTTAGAACCGTTTGTACTGGACTCTTTATTAATTTTTGTAAA